ACTACCCCTGCACACACACACAGACATCACCCCTGCACACACACAGACTACCCCTGCACACACACACAGACTACCCCTGCACACACACACAGACTGCCCCTGCACACACACGGATATTACCCCTGCACACACACACAGACTACCCCTGCACACACACACAGACTGCCCCTGCACACACACGGATACTACCCCTGCACACACACACAGACTACCCCTGCACACACACAGACTACCCCTGCTGCCTCTTCTTGCTTTTGGAGAAGCTGCCAGTGGGTTGAGAAAGAACTCTGTGGTCACCCCACCTGCCCAGTGGAAAGTTACTTGCAAGCTAGCTGCTTCAGCCCTTTCCCCACGCCCTCCAGATGTGCTACACCTGGTTGAGTTCTGCCTGGAGGAGGGGATCACTGATGAAGAAGCCATCTCCCTCATCGACCTGGAGGCACCCAGACCCAAGCGAGAGGACAGACAGCAGGAGACCATAAACAACAGTATCCATGCTCTTGGCCAGAACCTACGTGTGCAGCCATATGAGGGGCATGGGGCCAGGCAGGAAGCAGGAGGGCCCAGGGATGGCAGGTCATGCTGAGCCTAGCCCTGTGTCCCTAGAGAGATTGGAGAGGCCCACATGGGATGGACAGGGACCAGAGGTGGGCAGAGGGCTGGCCAGGGCCTGAGGAGCCAGAGTGGTAAATGGCACCTTGGTCTTCCCGTGTGGGTCTCCCACTCTCCCCTAGCCCCTAAAAGGCACTGGCTGTGCCTCCATGCATAGCTCCTACATAGCTAACATGGGATACGATGTCAGTGTTGGCCCCTAGCTCTTCCACTCAGGTCACTTTTGCATGCAGGTGGCACAGTTCATGACTGACAGGCTGAACAAGTGAAGGGTGTGCAAAGAAGCCCTGAGGAGAGGCGGCTCCATGGCCCAGCGCTCACTCCGGTCGGTCACAGGCTTGCTCTGCCTCTCTTGGCTCTGCTCTCCTCTGGGGAGCTTCATTTTTTGGCAGCACCATGGTACCCCTACAACATAGAGATGCCAGGAGCCCCACATCCCCTCAGCCTCATCACCCCCAGAAACGGCCAGCTCTCCTCTCAGCTGTGGTAGTGAAAGCCCCAGGGCACAGCTCAGCCTGCCCCTTTGGCCAGGAGGACGTACTGTTGTCCTTGTCAGGCCACACTTGCAGGCTGGCTTCTTGCAGGGAACAGCACACACATGGCCTGGGGCCTCGCTCCCTCCCACTGGCTGAGTCTGCAGGTGTAGGGGCTGTGAGGCTGCCTTTCCCGCAGCTCCCATGTGCTGCCACCCCCAGGGGCCACACTGGGAGGAGGGAAGCTCAGAGAGAGCTTCCCATCTTGCTGAAGGAGAGACAGATCCTGCTCTGCCACCCAGGCTCCCACAGGTGCCACAGATGATGCGGGCTATGGTGTTGGCATGTGGGTGCTATGCCAACTCCAACTTGACACTAGCAGTCTTCATGCCCTTGGGGACCCCTGCCGGTCTCTGTCACCAGCTCCACCACTGTGGGAGAGGGGCAGTTTCTGGGGACCTCCAGGTGAGTCTGATCCGGCCTGGGGTCAGTAGGGGCTCACCCCATCCGCTCTATCACAAGTGTCTGCAGACCCCCCAGCAGCTGCTGAGTGTTTCTCCAGGATCCCTGGGCCCGTCATCCCCTCCATGCCCACCCACAATGGCTCACAGGGCCTGCATGTGCTTCCCACTGGCCTTGGGAGCCATGGCACGCATGGCCTGCAAGAGGAATGGGTGAGGGCAACAGCGCCAGCAGAGTCCCTTCTCTCTGCCTTCTCGGCCTGAGCCCCCACTGTTTTTCCTTCTGGAAAACTGTTCCGCTGGCCTGGCTGTTCTTGAGTCTTCACATGGGTGTAGGGTGAAGGCTAGGGTCTATCTCCAGCTCTTCTGATTCCATCCTTGACCAGACCCCTCCAGGCTCCCAGATTCTGCAGCTAGTGGAGACCAAGGACTCCATGGGAGATGAGGACCCGTTCACAGCTAAGCTGAGCTTTGAGGTGAGGGTGCCTCTCTGGGTGACCTGCAGGAGGGCAGCCTTCATCCCTTCTCCTGTGCACATGGGGACCCTCAGTTAGCACAGTAACAGAGGAGGATTCGCCAGAACTTCCAGGTGTGATGGCACGAGGGTGGGACAGGACCCCTTCCTGTGGGGTGTAGGAGCCAAGTCTGCCTCTGAGGGACCATGGGCAAGGGCACAGGTCTGTGGACAGGAAGGCAGCTTCAGTTCTGGTGGGAGGAGCTTGTCACTGTCGGGGTTACGAAGCAGATCCTCCCTCGCCACTGACAAAGATTCCAGGATCATAATCCACACAAATGTGTCACTGTGGCTGAGTGAAGACACTGCCTCCTTCCCGCCCACCCTGCAGCAGGGTGGCTCAGAGTTTGTGCCGGTGGTGGTGAGCCGTCTGGTGCTGCGCTCCATGAGCCGCCGGGACATCATCATCAAGCGCTGGCCCCCGCCCCTGAGGTGGCAGTACTTCCGCTCACTGCTGCCTGACGCCTCCATTACCATGTGCCCTTCCTGCTTCCAGGTAGGTGGCCACTCCAGCAGCTCACGTGTGCTTCTCTCAGCCACTTTTCCCTTACCCAGATGTCCCTCTGGGAGGCCTGGCCCCTGGGAGGAGGAGCACATCCACAGCTCCAAGTTGGGAAAGAGGCTTGGCTGTCCTCGCCTCTACTTGCATTCCATGTGCATCTAAAGTAGATTTCACTGGATCCAATACTGTCCACACCCTCCCTAATTCCGGAAGGGCCAGCAACTGTGTGTGCCTTTGACCTTCACTCAGAAAACAAGGAGCCCCACAGCCCCCTCCCATCTCCCCTTCCAACCCTTAAACAAAGGTGCTGCAGGTCTGTGTCCAGCCCTGACCACTGCCAGGTCCCCTCCCTTTGAGAGGCTGTCCCAGCCCCAGGCATAGGACTGATGAGCACTAGGGCTTTGGCCTGATCGTCCCTCAGATGTTCCACTCTGAGGACTATGAGCTGCTGGTTCTTCAGCACGGCTGCTGCCCCTACTGCCGCAAGCGCAAGGACGACCCCGGCCCATGACCAGCACCCTGGGGACAGCCTGCACTGTCTGCCTGCCTTGCGATCTGCTGGACTTTGAAGGAGAATGAAGAGTTAAACTGTCAGAATGCATCTCTTGCCCAGATGAAGTTTGTGTTTTGGGGGGGGCCTTGTGTAACCACGGAATTCCTATTTATGGCATTTCATGCCTTGTAAATAGCACCAGGAGATGAGGAAGAGAATGTACATATATTTTCTAAGGAAAAAAATCTGTTACTTTCAGAACGGCTCCTAGTTGTTCGTGGCAGCCTGCTGGAGTCCGCAGATCTGTCAGACTGTTAGCATGTACATTTTGCCAACAGATTGCCTCAATAATGACAAAAGGGCTCCTTATTTTCATCAGCGTCTGCATTTTAGCAAGTATTCGTATTGTCTGCAACTTAATTTCCTTATGCAAAAGTGCACCTGTTTCTAATTTGATCTGAAAGGAATATTACATTTGTGTGCTCTTAACATTTAATCTAATAGAAATGGCAATATGGAAAGGGGTAGGGGAACGGGTTTTTTTGTTGTTGTTTATTTTGGTTTAATGAGGATCTGTCTTGACAAGAAAAAATAACCTGGCTCCAAAGAAGATGGCAGGACTTTTTAAAAAGGCTCCTGTTTTGTAGCCTGGTCAAGGCTCCTGTCTGGACCCAGGAGCCACCCTTCCATCCACCTTCCCCAGCCCCACAGAGCAGCCCCAGCCCAGTGAAGACTCTTCCCTTTAGAACAGCTCCTTAAGCGGGTGGCTTCTGTTTGAGAGTCCAGAATGCCAAGGTCCCTTCCCTGAGGTATCACTGGTGTCCAGTGCAGCAGCTTGTGGGCTTGGAAGGGGCACATGCAGAAGCTGAAGAGAACTCACATTGGGGACATTTTTGGCACCAGCCACTTTCCATGCTGTCTCAAGCCTCTCAGCAGCCCTGTGAAGAAAGGGTTATGATTTCCAGTGAGGCTGGGAAGGGGGTTGCCAGGACCCAGGGTATGCCTTCAGCCCTGGGAGGCGCAGCCCACCATTTGTCCAGCCTCGAGGCTCTGCCCCCTTCACCCCCACTCCACCTGCCAGAGGTGGCAATGCAGTGCTTCATGAAAAGCCTGAGAGTAGCTGAGCACAGGCAGGAGCGAGGGCAGGGCTGTCATGCCATGCTGAAACCCACCCCCCCCCCATGCTGCAGTATTGATTCCTTACAGCCTATCTGTACAGGGGGCAGGGCAGGACAAATGTGCCCATTGGAGGGATGCGGACACTGAGGCCCCAAGGGGAGTGGCTGCAGAGACCCCCCAGTGGGAAGTGTCAGAACTAGAGCCCCATCCCAGAGCCCCTGCCCCACCCCAGACCACCCCTCCTCCCTGCATCCCTCCGAATCTCTCTGGAGATGATGGAGGAAAATAAAGAAAGGGAGCCAGACAGTTGTGCCAACAGAACTCCTCCGTCGATTGTCTAATTACTTACCATCATGCATGCACTCTCACTAAACATTTATTAATGTGTTAGGATTTCCATTAGCGCATGACTTGAACTGAAATCATTTGCATATGGCTGGGAAAAAGAGGGGAGAAAGAGAAAACAGCTCCAGCTACCTAGCAGTCAATCGCAGTGACAGATCAGATGGTCCCTGGCTGGAGGCAAGGGAGGGTTCCAGCGGAGATTCTCGCATCCCCTCAGCCGATGAACACAAAAATGAGTGTGCTATTCCGGGCTCTGCTGCCCCAGGAAGCTCAGCTCAAGAGGCCTGAGTGGGGCCCCTGTTCGGACAGATGCACTTTCTGTACATCATCCAAGCCTGCCTCTTATGCAGGTGATGACACTGAGCCTCAGTCACGTTCTTTTTCATTCAGCAAATAGGCATTCAGCCAAGGCATATTTGGTTGCACCTGGGTGCAACCTTCACACATAAGCCGTGTGTCTGGCTGCTGTTCTCTCTCAGCCTGGTCTGGGTCTGAGCCAAATCCAGTCTTTTCTCCAAGGCTCAGTTTCCCCATCTGTACAAAAGGGCCCCCTCCAGCTCTGACTCCGAGGTTCCAGCCTCAGTCTACATCTGTGAACAGTGCTGGATGATGATCCTTTTGACCCCTCACATGCCTATGACAAGGAAGGCACCACAGGGACCTGGTGATGCCCACTGAACTAAGAGGACACTGAAGCCAGAGAGGAGCAGCTGCGGGAGGCTCACGGCAGGGCAGTGGTTCTGGCCTGTGTGTAGCTGTAGTCCCAACTACTCGGGAGGCTGAGGTGGAAGGATCACTTGAGCCAAGGACAGGAATTCAAGACTGCAGTAAGCTATGATTGCACCACTGCACTCCAGCCTGGGCAACAGAGAAACATTCATCTCTCAAAAAAATTTAGATAAATGTGGTAATCATTGATGGTAATGACCTTGTAAAAACTGAACATGGCTGGGTCTGGTCACTCATACCTGTAATGTCAGCACTTTGGGAGGCCAAGGCAGGAAGATCGCTTGAGCTGAGAGATACCAGTTTGAATTCTATAGGGAGACACACACTATCTGGCTGGGACTGGTCCCGATCTGTCATCTCCCAAGAGTTCAACATTGTACCCATGTTCTTGGAAGGAGGAAGCAAGGGAGAGGCAGACTGGGCAGCCACAAGTGGATCTGACTCTAGACCCACCTCAGGCAGTTGGGGGTTCCTGGGCCTCGGTTTCCTATCTCTCCCCAGCAAGGCTGTGAAGCCAGGAGCCCCTGGTGGCTGTCGCACAGGTGGGCAGAGGCCCCTCCTCCAAGGTGACTGCTGTGTTTCTTCCCAGGCTCGGAGTCTGTGTGCCCACGGCAGAGGCCACCACTGGGCAGGGTGCTTACCCTGGGCCTCCCTGATTCTCCCCACGCAGATCCAGAACACTGGCCCAGAATGGAGACCTCGTCACGGCCTTCCCTGCTTACCACTCGCAGTGGCTGCCTGTGCCATTCAGCCAATACCCAGACCCCTAGGCCTGCCTTCTGTCCCTGCCAGGCCACCCTAAGGGGACCAGCACCTCCATACCCAGCTGGTGCTCCTGCTTGCCCTGTTTGGGGGGCTCTTTTGAGGCCAGCCACTCTGGGGAGCTTCCCAGGCACCCTCCTGGTCCACCTTTTTCTCCTCTGGGCTCCCGCGGCCCTGGGACTGGGAGAAAACTCTCATTTCTCATGGTTAGTTTCCCCTGTCAGTGCCTCCTGAAACTGCAAGCTCCTTGAGAGCAGGGACTGTGTAGGATCCATCTCAGCATTCCCAGGGCCCAGGCCAGGGTCTGGCACATAGGAGTTTGGCAAATGCTAGGGTAGAAGGGAAAGAGGAAGGAAGGAAAACTGGTCTTTCTCCCTCCCTTATTGCCTCTTGACACTCTTAGCGCTGTCAAAGACCTCACGTAGTCTTGGTGACGCAGCCAGATGGGGCTGAGTCATGTGGGGGACCAGAAGAAAGAAAGCCGAGGAAGAAGAGGAGAAGGATGCTGACCTAGCAGGTCCTCTCACAGCAGTTCCTCTCCTGCGGAGGCTGAAGAGCGATTTGTGCGCTGCAAGCTAAGCCCCTAATCCTCCAAGGCAGAAGCAAAGCCTGCACCTGGGCTCCTGAGGGCTGGGACTTGGGTGCCCCAAGATGGCCACATCTACCTTCAGAGATGGTCGCCCCGGGGCCCTGACTCCATGCCCCGCAGCTCCTCATAGCTCTTCCCGAGCCCGCTGAGAGGGAGGCAGAGGGCAATGGCTCAGAAATCCCCCCACACTCCAGCTTGGCCAACACCCACACCATGGGTTTCTCTGGATTGCCCGACACAAGTTATGGGTGCTGGCCAGGCCTGTGTTCAAATCCCAGCTCTGCAGAGGAACTTTGACCCTGCGTGCCCCAGATTCCTCAGTGGTCAGTGGGGAGTGAGACGCTCTTCACAGGGGGCAGGAGGAGTTGTTCATTCATTCAACAAATGTTTATTGAACACCTCCTATGGGTTGTGAGCTCAGAGGCAGTGATGAACAGGCCAGGGTGGTCCTGCATTCTAGAAAGAGATGGGAGGTCAGTCAATAAGAAGACAAATGAGACCAGGTGAGGTGGCGCACCTTTAGACCCAGTCACTCAGGAGGCTGAGGTAGGAGGATCACTTGAGCCTAGGACAGGAATTCAAGGCTGCAGTAAGCTATGATTGTACCCCTGCATTCCAGCCTTGGCAACAGAGCAAGACTCATCTCTAAAAAACATTTTAAAATTATAGCCTCCCAAGTGGCTCCCAAGGCAGGAGGATCACTTGAGCCTGGGAGTTAGAGACCGGCCTGAACAATATAGGGAGACCCCATCTCTACAAAAATGAAAATAAATTAGCCAGGCATGGTGGTACAGGCCAATGGTCCTAGCTACTCAGGGTTGAGGTGGTGGATTGTTTGAGCCCAGGAGGTTGAGGCTGCAATGAGCCAAGACTGTGCCACTGCCATCCAACCCAAGTAACAGAGCAATACCCTGTCTCAAAAACAATAGGCCAGGTGTGGTGGCTCACGCCTGTAACTCCAGCACTTTGGGAGGTCGAGGTGAAAGGATCACTTGAGATCAGGACTTAGAGACCAGCCTGGCTAACATGGCAAAATCCTGTCTCTACTAAAAATATAAAAATTAGCCAGGCGTGGTGGCACACACCTGTAGTCCCACCTACTTGAGAGGCTAAGGCAGGAGAATCACTTGAACCTGGGAAGAGGAGGTTGCAGTGAGCCAAGCTTCCACTGCACTCCAGCCTGGGCAACAGAGCAAGACCCTGTCACAAAACAACGACCACACCTGGTGGGAGTGCCTGGTATGTAAGATGGTCAGGAGCGGTCTCTCCAAGGACATGAATGTAAACAGAGACCTGAAGGAGACTCAGGAAGAGATTAATACTGTCAGCAACAAACATATTGATCACTTAGAAGCACTCTCAATAATCCTATTAGGTAGGTACTCATGTCATTCCCATTTTACAGAGTGGAGGACCAAAGCACACCCTTGGGAGGGTGGGGGAGCTGGCTGCACTCAGGTTGTGTAGCCTCAGTCCAGATGTAAGAGTGTGTGGAAAAGAGTCTTGCCTGATGAGGGAGAACAGTGAAACCGAGGCTGTAGGGTCCAGAGATTCGTAAGCCAGGCTCTCATGGGGAAAGCAAGTGACTTTTACTGTATAGCTGGGTGTGCCCCCCACCCCACACTGAGGCTCTCTCGTCCCAGCAAACTGAGGCCCAGAGAGGCGAAGCAAGACTACTGTGATAAAGACCAGCTAGAATCCAGCCTCCTCTCCTCAAGGCTTCCATTGCCCCGCCCCAGGCCTGTGTGACTCAGTCCAGGGCCTTTCCATTACCCCAGCTAAACCTTTCTTTAGTCATTTATACCATGGTGTGAATAGCTGGCTGGCCTTTCCTGAGAGCTGTGTTTGATGAGGGGAGGGAGGAATAAGCAGGTTAGGGAAGCTGTTACCCTGTGAAGCCAGGCTGGCTGTGTGGGTTATAGCCCAGACTGTCGCTGATTTGTTACGGGACCTGAACAACCCTGTAGACCTAAGCCTCCGTCTTTTCATCTGCAAAATGGATGTAGCAGAGACAGTCAGAGTAGGTGACTTCAAATGACCCTTCCAGCTCACTGTGAGCCTGTTACCCTGAACAAAGAGCATTTTTTGTTTAAAAAAAATTTCTTGGGCTGGGCACAGTGACTCACGTCTGCAATTCCAGCACTTTGGGAGGCTGAAGAGGGTGGATCACTTGAGCCAGGAGTTCGAGACCAGCCTGGGTAACATAGTGAGGCCCCATCTCTACAAAAAATACAAAAATTAGTGGTGTGCACTTGTGGTCCCAGCTACTCGGGAGGCTCAGGTGAGAGTCTCTCATGAGGCCAGGAAGCAGAAGCTGCAGTGAGCTATGATCGCACTGCTGTGCTCCAGCCGGGGTGACAGAGTGAGACCTTGTCTCAAAAATTTTTTTTCTTTGTCAAAGAGCACTGCCATGTCAGTGATGTCTGTTAGTTCCCCATCACCAGGACTCCATGAGGTTGAGATTGTGAAACTCACAAGGGAGGAACCTGAGACCGAGAGCGGAAGTACTGGGACCACCAGGTCCATTCCCCCACTCGCTCACTCATTCAACAAGTATTCAGGGAGCACCTTCTAGGTGCCAGGCTCTGGAGACACATCAGTGAACAAAATAGCCAACATCTCACCTCTTTCCACCACAGGCCAGGCGCCGTGCTGGGCTCTGGAAACCCTGTTGTGAGCAAGACAGACCCAGGCCCGCCCTTGTGGACTCACGTTACAGGCAGGGAGACCAGCACAAAACTCATGAACAGAACACAAAAGGCTTCATGCTGTCAGAAGCACCAGGCAACAAGCAAGGCGCTGAGGTACTGCTAAGCTGTGTAGGGTGTGGGCTCAGCCTGGCCAGGGAGGGGCCGCGTGTGGGTCAGTCTTGACCCAAGGCATCCAGGACACCCTCCTCCTGGCCATGAGGGTCCACGTCAGAATCAAACCCCCCACCTTAACCTCATTAGCATTGGGCATAATCACCAGGCCAAGCGCCTTAAACTCCAAGAGGCCCCATCCCACCCGCCCTGCTTCAGCACTGTCACATGTGCCAAGCCCTGTTAGACCCAACACCGCCCAGGCCAGGCAGGGGGCTAGAGCCCAGGTGGGCTGCAGGGAAGGGGGCACCCTTCTGAACAGACAGATCTGGGAATCCTGGGTGGGCAGAGAGACCGGGTGAGAGAGAGATTAAAGGACACTTTCCTGGCCTCGGGGCTCTGCACTCGCAGGGGACCCTCTGCCTGGACGGCCTTTCCCTGAAGCTTCCTCCTGTTGCTCCGGCTCTCCACTCATGCTCCAGCTTCTGAGAAGCCTCCTGTGTTGGGAGTGGCTGTGACTGAACTGTCCTCGCTGTTACTCCATTATTCGTTTGTGGTCCCTGTGTCCCCACCCCCACAGAAACACTGGCTTCTTACAGGGGAGGGAACTTGCTCTTTTGTGTCCCCGGAGTCTCCCCCAGGACCAAGCACCTTGTCTGGGCCACAGTAGGTGCTCAGTACACATGTTGGCTGGACAGTGGTCACTGAGTGGCCGAACATCAGGCACTCTCAGCACCTGCACAGGCCACCCTGGCCACCCACTTCATTCCTAGGAGGTGTCATCGTGTTCCTTGGATAGCTTGAAGAGGGAGACCTACCTCCATTTGCCCCCAGGCCATCTGCCCCCAAGGCTCTGACTACTTTCTTTCCCACAGTGCATCCTGCTGTCCTGGAACCAGCCCTCCTGGGGCCACCTGGCACATGGCATCTGAGACCCTCGTGGTTGACCAGATATCCCCCAACAGCGCCCTGTCTGCTGCCTCCAGGACGGGCCTCCCCTTCAGACTGGAGTCCCTGAGGGGCTCCGTCCCTCCCCTGCTCTGGTAGCCCCCTCCATCCTCCCTCCCTCCACTCTAGCTTTGGGGACATTTGAGTCACCTTTCTACCCCAGAGATCTGCCCAAGCCACTGCCCACTTCCCTCTGGATAAAGCCATGTTACCCAACTTGCTGTTCAAGACCCATCACAACTGCCCCCAGCCTGGGTCTTCCCCACCTGGCCACCTGGAAAACTGCACCTTCTCCCAAAGGTCCAAACATGGCCTCCTGGGCTGCATTCCCCCAGGCAGTCAGACCTGTCTCCACAACCTCACAGACACCCTGGGCGGAATCTGCTTCTTCCCAGTTCTGAGTCCTCCTCAGCCCCTGAGCTCCTCTGGGCAGGGCTGTTTCTTTTCCATCTTTGTATCCCCAGGGGCCCACACATACATGTTTAATGAACAAACTCACAGAGTGAATTCCAATTCCAGGCAACAGTGATTGGGCTCCTGGGCCCCAGGTCATGTGTCTGGCACCAGGAACGGAAGCTGGAAGATGCAGCCCCTGCCCTCATGGAGCTCCTCCTGCGGCAGCAGTGTGGGGACTAGATGTGCCCAGAGGGAACAAACAGGTAAGGGACTGTATGACGAGATGAGAGACTAGGAGAATAAACTGAAGAGCTTCTAGCTGTCCAGAAACTCACAGTCCAGTCCAGACAAAGACCCGAAGTCAGCCATACTAAGCCAGGGAAAATGGCACAGAGGCCCATGGTCCCCATTTCAGACCAAGGCCACCAGACTGAGCTGGGACCTTGGGACAGACAAGTCACACAGAAGTTAGGGGCTTTCTCCTCTCTTTCCCAAGGTCCTGGGTACCTCCCTTCCCTGACCTCAGGCTTCCTCCTGGTGTCACCTTGGCCCCTCTCAGAAGCCAATTAGGCCCTCGGTTTCTGCAGCGGGGATTAATATGATTATGAACATGCCAATCTCTCAGATGCTGATTCAGCCAGGAGCTTAGGAGGGGGAGGTCACTTTATAAGGGTCTGGGGGGGCTCAGAGCCCGGAATCACTCAGCTGGAGCCCTGAGTGGCTGAGCTGAGGCCTTTGCAGCATTCTTGGGTGGGAGCAGCTGTGGGGCAGCCACAAGGGCCACAGCCATGAATGGCACGGAAGGCCCTAACTTCTATGTGCCCTTCTCCAACGCAACGGGAGTGGTGCGCAGCCCCTTCGAGTACCCGCAGTACTACCTGGCGGAGCCATGGCAGTTCTCCATGCTGGCCGCCTACATGTTCCTGCTGATTGTGCTGGGCTTCCCCATCAACTTCCTCACGCTCTACGTCACCGTCCAGCACAAGAAGCTGCGCACGCCTCTCAACTACATCCTGCTCAACCTAGCAGTGGCGGACCTCTTCATGGTCTTCGGTGGCTTCACCACCACCCTCTACACCTCTCTGCATGGATACTTCGTCTTCGGGCCCACAGGGTGCAATGCGGAGGGCTTCTTTGCCACCCTGGGCGGTATGAGCCGGGTGCGGGCGGGTGTGCAGGAGCCCAGGAGCATGGAGGGGTCTGGGACAGTCCCAGGCTTGGCGGTAGTGGCTGAGAGGACTTCTCCCTTCTCCTCTCCTGTCAGCATTATCTGAAGTCCTCATATATTCAGTCAACAAATACCGTTCGTGGTGATATCTGGGCTGCTATTTGTGCAGGGCTGGCACTGAACACTGCCTTGATCTTATTTGGAGCAATGCGCTTGTCTCATTTCACAGCAAGGAAACTGAGCTGAGGCTCAAAGAAGTCAAGCGCCCTGCTGGGGGTCACATAGGGATAGGAGCAGAGTTGAGTTTGAAGCTCGCATCTGTGTTGCTCCTTGGGCCGTGTTCGGAACACCAAGCCTCTGTTTACCTTGGAGCAGCTGTGCTGGGTCAGACCCAGGCTGGGCACCAAGGGGAGAGCTGGGCAAGCCAGACACCTCCTTTCTGGGGGCCCCAGCCCGGGGCAGGAAGCGGATTCTCCATCCTCCAGTCATTGGGTCTTCCCTGTGCTGGGCATTGGGCTCGGTCCCCTCTGGCATCCTCTGCCTCTCCTCCCAGCCCTCTGTCCTTGGGTGCCCCTCTGGCCTCCCTGCAGTGCTCCTGGGCTCCTGCCCCTCTGAAGCAGCTCCTTTCACAGGTGATATGTGGCTGTGAAAGATGCTTTAGAATAATGTCTTGCATTTAACAAGAAAACAAATGGAGGTGCTGCAGAGATAACAGATCTCACTTAACAGAGGGGAAACTGAGGCAGGAGAGGGGAAGAGACTCATTTTGGGATGTGGCCCGGCAGCAACAAGAGCCTAGGTCTTTGGGCTGTGATCCAGGAATGTGTCCACTGAGATGCAGGAGGAGACACTCGTGGCAGCCATTGCAAAGCCAGGGTGACAGGGAGAGCTTAGCGCCAGCCACAAGCGTCGCTCTGCCAGCCTTGCCCTCTCTCCCCCATGTCCAGGCAGCATCCTTGGTCCCATTCTCAGGGACTCTCTGGCCATTGTTGGGCGTTTGCTACATTCAATAATCAGAGATCGCCCGATTCTGGCCAGAAGGTGGGGGTGCCACAAAGGGTGATTGTTTCCTGCAGGGTCAGTCCCAGTTTACAATTATCGTCCCATTCCTTGTCAGGAGTGTCCCAGTTTGGTTGGTAACTATATGGCCACTGTCCCTATGGAACTTCGTGGGGTGGTGAGCAGGGCAGATGTCTGAATGCCATCATTCCCTTCTTCTTCCTCTGGGCAAAACATTGCCCGATGCTTCATGGTTCCTAGGAGAGGGTCCCACATGCCTGGGCTATTTCATCTCCCAAGAGGGGAGAGGGAGGAAGGACGCCAATTCTGGGTTTCCACCACCTCTGCATTCCTTCCCAACAAGGAACTCTGCCTCACATTAGGATGCATTCTTCTGTTAAAACACACACACGCACACACCACCCTACTGGGTTCCCAGTCCAGTCATGACCTCCTGATCTTTTTCGTGTCCCTCATGGATCCAGAGCTCTAGGCAAATAACTTCCCCCATTCACTGAGTTTCTTTGCCCAGCTCCCCTCAGCATGGGCTCCCTCTGCCCCTTCCTCCTCCTCCCAGTATCAAGCTCTCCTTCCTCAAGGGCTCTTCAAGTCCTTCTCTCACTCCGGGTTGCTTTCCTAGCCACCCTTTCCTTGTCTAGGGGTAGTGCGCCCTCCTTAGGCAGTGGCGTCTGTGCTGACCACCCGCTGGCTGCCTTGCAGGTGAAATTGCCCTGTGGTCCTTGGTGGTCCTGGCCATCGAGCGGTATGTGGTGGTGTGTAAGCCCATGAGCAACTTCCGCTTTGGGGAGAACCATGCCATCATGGGCGTTGCCTTCACTTGGGTCATGGCGCTGGCCTGCGCCGCACCGCCCCTCGCCGGCTGGTCCAGGTAATGGCATTGGGCAGAAGGGAAGGGGCTAGGGCTCTCTGTAGGGTCCTCCAGTCAGGACTCAAACCCAGTGCTGTCTGGTTCCAGACACTGACCTTGTATGTCTTCTGGCCCAAATGCCCACCCAGGGTAGGGTGTAGGACAGAAGGAGGAACAGACTCTTAAGTTGCTGAAGGGCTGGTCCCACCTCCTGAGGCCCAAGTCAAAGAGAATCCAAGCCATCCCAACCCTTCACCTTGGCCGTGCCCCTAATCCTCAAGTAAGCCAGGCGCAAATTCCAATCCTCTTTGGTCTAGTGCCCTGGGGGCAACCCCCTCTAACCTTGGGCCTCAGCAGCAGGGGAGGCCACGCCTTCCTAGTTCAGGTGGCCATATTGCGGCCCCTGGGAACTGGGTCCCATTCGGCCTCTAGGCCATTCCAAACGGGGCTGAGATGAGACACAGCAGGTACGGTGGTTTGGACATCAGGACTGGTGACTGGTCCCCAGAGGCCTCATGTCCCTTTGCCTCCAGAAAATTCCCACTCTCACTTCCCTTTTCTCCTCAGTCTTGCTAGGGTCCATTTCTTACCCCTTGCTGAATCCCAGCCCACCCCCTGGACTTTTTCCCCATCTTCTCCAGTCTGGCCTAGTTCCATCCTCTGGAATCACAGCCATTGGACGCTCTGGGTTTCCTGAGGCCATTCCATTGCCACCAACATCAGGAACCATTGCCACATCCTAACCACGTGCCCTGGGAGACTCTTGTTTCCAGAAGCTGCACAAAGATCCCTTAGATACCCTATATGTCCGTCTTTGGCCTGGAAAATACTCTCACCGTGTTGCTAGCTTGTACAAACTGCCGCAAATACAGAGCCCGAGGGCTCTCCCCTCCTCCTCACCAACCTCTGCCTGGCATAGCCTGAGGCTCAGCAGGCAGTGGATGCTGAGGCAGGGCATGAGGCTAGGTCATGTCATCTGGTACCGCAGCCACCAAACAAAGAAGTGACACTGATTCCACAAGGTGCATCTGCATCCCCACCTGATGCAGTCCATCCTGTCACCCAGCCACGCAGACGTTTATGATCTCCTTTCCAGGGAGGGAACGGGAAGCCCCAGAAAGGGCCAGTGCCTGGCAGGCACCTTGGCCAGGGCCATTCCTAAGTCCCTCCCAGGTAAGGTCTCCCTACCTGCCCGTCTCAGGTACATCCCCGAGGGCCTGCAGTGCTCATGCGGAATCGACTACTACACGCTCAAGCCGGAGGTCAACAACGAGTCCTTTGTCATCTACATGTTCGTGGTCCACTTCACCATCCCCATGATTATCATCTTCTTCTGCTATGGGCAGCTTGTCTTCACCGTCAAGGAGGTACGGGCTGGGGGTGGGTGGCCTCTGAGCGTCCAGCCCCCAACACACATCTACAGCTCCTGCTCCTCGGAGGAGCCATGGTCTGGACCTGGGTCCTGTGTCCCTGCAGGCCGCTGCCCAGCAGCAGGAGTCGGCCACCACACAGAAGGCAGAGAAGGAGGTCACCCGGATGGTCATCATCATGGTCATCGCTTTCCTGATCTGCTGGGTGCCCTATGCCAGCGTGGCATTCTACATCTTCACACACCAGGGCTCCAACTTCGGTCCCATCTTCATGACCATCCCAGCATTCTTCGCCAAGAGCGCCGCCATCTACAACCCTGTCATCTATATCATGATGAACAAGCAGGTGCCTATTGTGGGTGGGAGGACCCCAGTACCCCAGGCCATGGGCACTGCCTGCCAAGGATAAGCTATGTCCCAGGGCAGGGGAGGGGGCTCCATCAGGGCTACTGGCAGTGGGGCTCACGGGTCAGCAGTCTCAATGGGGAGTGTGTGAGAAATGCAGATTCCTGGGCCCCACCCAGACCTGCTGAATCTCAGGATGGACCCAGGAACCTGCATTTCCAGCAAGCCCTCCAGGTGGCTCGGATCCTCACTCAGGTGTGAGAAGCTCCAGTCCAGATGGTTCTGGAAGCCCAATGTCAACGTCAGAAGGTCCCAAGCTGAGAATGAGATGGGCCAGTCTCCATAAAGCTGAATAAGGAGCTAAAAAATCTTATTCTGAAGGGTAAAGGGATAAAGCAGTCCCGTAACAAAGAGCAAGTGGTTTCCCTGAGGAACCCAGAAGTCGGGGGAAACAGTCTCTGAAGTCAGCTCTGCCATTTTCCAGCTGTGTGGTGCTAGGCAAGTCAGTTCCCCTCTCTGGGCTTTGGTTTCCTCATCCATAGAAAGGGCAAAACACCAAACTCTCAGATTACAGGAGAGAATTTCCAGCATACACTTGGCACACAGAGGGCACCATGAAACGTTGAGGGTGATGCAGCCCCCTTGTGCTCGGTCCCTGGCATCTCTACAGGTGGGGAGTGTCTGCTTAGCAAGTTCTGTCCAGGAGGCCGGATTTGAGTGGAATTGTGAGGGGCAGAAGCCAGGAAAGGGTTGGGGCAAACCTCACCAATGTGCCAGTTCCAAACACACTGTGGGCAGCCCCAGCCCTAACTCAGGCCTCTTGCCTTCCAGTTCCGGAACTGCATGCTCACCACCATCTGCTGTGGCAAGAACCCGCTGGGTGACGATGAGGCTTCCGCCACCGTGTCCAAGACGGAGACCAGCCAGGTGGCGCCGGCTTAAGACCTGCCAAGGACTCTGTGGCTGACCGTAGGCATCTCCCATCCCCCACACCCTCCCCCAGCCACAGCCATCCCACCTTAATTTTTTTTTTTTTTTGAGAAATAATTCATGAGAGAAAAATGAGGCTTCTCACTCACCCGGGATGGCCTGAGAAGGGACATCCACGAAAACCTACTGATCTGGAGTCTCAGGTTCCCCAAGGCCCGTGGGATCTGTGCCCCTCCTCTTCCCAACTCATCTTTCAGGAACATAAAGGAAATCTTGCTTTTTGGAAAAGTGTCCCAGTTTAGGGATAAGTGTCTAGCACAGAATGGAACACACATAGGTGCTTAATAAATGCTGGATGGATGCAGGAAGGAAAGAAGGAATGAATGAAGGAATGAATGGGAAGGGAGAACGTATCTGTCTTCTCAGACACTCTTAGCAGCAGCAGCTCACACTTGGCTCATGATTTGGAGCAGTTGTTCTCCCCTCCCTGGGCCTCACTTTCTTCCCCTATGAAATGGAAATCACAGATCTCTGGTCCTGCCGACTCACAGCTACTGAGAAGACCAAATGAGGGGCGTGTGTGTATGTGTGTGTGTGTGTGTGTATGTGTGCGGGCTGCATGTGCGTGTCCACGTGTGTGTTTAAGCACTTTGTAAATAGCAAGAAGCCGTACAGATTCTAGTTAGCGTTGTGAATAACATCAATGAATGTAACTTGTTAATTATTATGATCATTACTTCCTGATAGTGAACATTCTGAGATTGGGCATCAGAGGATGGGGTTTCACCCAGCCTCGGACAGGTTTTTAAAAATTAGCTAAGCATCAAGGCCAGACCAGGGCTGGAGGTTGAGCTGCAGGCAGGGACAGTCACAGGAATGTAGAATGTAGTCATCAGACCTGAAACACATTGGGGGAGAGGGGCAGTGAAGGCCAAGTTCCCAGTGAGGGTGAGATTGGGCCTGGGGTCTCACCCCTAGTGTAGGGCCCCAGGCCCCATGCCTCCCCTTCCCAATGTGGCCTATGGAGAGACAGGCCTTTCTATCAGCCTCTGGAAGCTACCTGCTCTTTTGCCCCAGCACCTTGGTCCCAGCATCGAGAGCATGGAGCCTTTAGAAGCCATGCTCACCCGCCCACATTTAATGAAGAGCTGAGTCCCTGACGTCATCCTTATCTTGAAGAGCTTAGAAACAGAGTGGGAAATTCCACCGGACCCACCTTCCCTGGGGATGTTCATGAGCCCCAGTTTCCAGTTTCCCTTGCCAGACAAGCCCATCTTCAGCAGTTGCTAGTCCATTCTCCATTCTGGAGAGTCTGCTCCAAAAAGCTGGCCACATCTCTGAGGTGTCAGAATTGACCTGCCTCAGTACCTGCTCCCCTTTCTCCATATAAGCAAAGCCAGAAGCTCTAGCTTTGCCCAGCTCTCCCTGGAGACGAAGGCAAATTGGGCCATTAAAGCTCAGCTCCTGTGTTGGTATTAATGGTGGTGGTTTTTGTTGCTTTCAAACTCTTTATCCACAGGATAGATTGAAACTGCCAGCCTCCACCTGATCCCTGACCCTGGGATGGCTGGATTGAGCAATGGGCAAAGCCAAGCCGCACAGAGTCCCCTGGGGCTAGAGGTAGAGGGAATAGTCCTGGGAATGGGAAAAACCCCAAATTTGAGTTCATAGAAGCACAGGTGACCCACAAAACTGCAAACAAGTTTTGTCACCTCTCTGAGCTTCCTTATCTGCAAAAGAGGATGTTAAAACTGACCTTGGTTGGGCACAGTGGCTCATAACTGCAATCCCAGCACTTTGGGGAGGCTGAGGCGGGCAGATCATGAGTTCAGGAGTTCGAGACCAGCCTGACCAACATGGTGAAACCCTGTCTCTACTGAAAATACAAAAATTAGCCAAGCATGGTGGCACTTGCCTATAATCCCAGCTACTCAGGAGGCTGAGGGAGGCAGATCCCTTGAGCCCAGGAGGAGGAGGTTGCAGTGAGTCGAGATCCTGACGCTATAGTACTCCAGCCTGGGCCACAAAGCAAGACCCCATTTCAAAAAAAAAAAAAAAAACCTGATCCTAAGGGGATTAGCTGAGACTGTGGACTCTAAGTGGCCAGCCTACTGCCTGGCATGCAGCAGATGGGAGACTTTGGCAATACTGGGCCTCAGCTCAGAGCTGGCTTTACTCGAGACCCTTCCCAAAGGGGAACAGGATGGAGCTATTACTCCCGAGAGTCACCCACTTCTCCAAGGTGAGAAAGGGGGCAGGAGCCTGAGAGAGCAGATCCTTGGTGCCTTGATGGGGCTGGGGCGCATCATGCTGGGCTCTCTGACTGTGTCCCTCTTTACTCTGACTCACCAGGTTATATTAGTCAGGATACTTTTGGTTGCAAGTGATAGGAAATCCAACTCATTTGTGCTGAAGCTAAAGGGAGATGTTGTTGGCTCACATGAACAAAAAGCCCAGGGGGCTTCAGGCACGGCTGGATACCAGTGCCCAGATGATGTGATCCACTGTTTCTCCCCTTTTTGCTACACTTCCCTGTGCTGACTTCATGCACAGGCTGACTGTTCCCAAAGGTGGCAGAAATGGTCCCCAGCAATTTGAGGCCCAGCAATCCCTGCAGAAAGCAGGCTTCTCTTTCCTGTTAATTGCCGCAAGGTCACGGGTAGGGCTCTTACTGGCCAGATCTGGGTCACTTGATCACTTTTAAGCCTATCACCATGCCCGAGATGGGGATTAATTCTGTGATTGGCCAGGCCTAGGTCACCTGATCATACTTAACCCATTTATGCCTGTGGTTGCAATTTTTTGAATTTTTGCAATCAGACCTTGGCGAGGACCTTGAGCAGTAGGATATAAATAACTCCCACATGCTTAGCCTTCCAATAACGGAACACTAGGCATACATAGGTCTAACTGCATCACCATGGATGGAATGGGGACTCATCCTCTGATTGGCCAGGCCTAGGTCACGTGCTCACCCTGAAGCCCAAGCAGGTTGAATGGGGAGAGGTAGGTTTCACAAAGGAAAGCCCAGGTGCTGTTACCTGAAGTAGGAGGGCAGGAGGCAGGGTGAGCAGAGCCAACATCAACCCAGAGGGGATGGACTCTAAGTTGGTGCTGTCTGGGTGCATGGCGGGACCAGGCCTCCCTCCATCCTCATCTCAAGGACATGAGGGAGAAGATTCCTATGGGTGGTCCCAAAGGAATCTCACCCTTTATTTTGGATGCTGTGTTGGGCCAGGGTGGTGGTGGGTAGGACAGTGGCATCTTAGCTGCCCTGACTTGCAGGCAGCCATCCCAGCTCCCTGCCCAATCCCCGACCCAGTCCACTTTTTCTGAGAAATGGCACATTTTCCCCATTCTCATGTCCAGAGGAAAATTTTACTCTAACACCAGAACATTCTCTGGTTTGTCCTGGTAGACAGGAAAGCCTCCACATCCTTAATTTACAAATGACTTGACAGCTGCTTGGTGGGCGCTTGCATACGTAAAGAGAAGGAGCTGCTGCCTTAAGCTGCAGCAAATGTGTCCCCACCTCATCTCCAGGCAGCCAGCAGATGTACAGAGTGCCTGTTGGGTACAATAGCAGCTCCATTCGACCAAACCTGAACAAGCTGTCCATGCCAGAATGCACTGGGGACTCGGAGATGAATTGGAAGGAGCAAGTCTCTAGGCTGTGACCTGGCCTGCCTCAGGGCCGCAGAGCACTGTCACACCAAGGGGGACGTGCACCCCTGAAAGCCTGACGTGTCCCCTAAGGGGATAGTGGGTGCCCTTCCCAGCTATGTGGCCTCAGGCCAAGTCAATCCGTCTGTCCTTCCTTCCTTCCTTTTCTTCCTTTTCTTTCTTTTCTTTCTTCTTCTTTTTTTTTTTCTTTTTTTTTCTTTTCTTTGAGACAGAGTCTTGCTCTATTGCCCAGGCTGGAGTACAGTGGTGTGATCTCGGCTCACTACAACCTCCACTTCCTGGGTTCAAGTGGTTTTCCTGCCTCAGCCTCCCAAGTAGCTGGGATTACAGGCATGTACCAACCACACCTGGCTAATTTTTTTGTATTTTTAATAGAGACATGGTTTTGCCATGTTGTCCAGGCTGATCTCCAACTCCTGAGCTCAAGTAATCCATCTGCTTCGGCCTCCCAAAGTGCTGGGATTACAGGCGTGAGCCACTGTGCCTGGCCTATAGCCAATTTCTTTACTAACACAAAGGGTTTCTAGGCTGCAGCCCAGGAAGTCAGGGAAGATCGAATTGTAGGTCCTTTCTGAACTTCAGCTTCTCCATGTATAAATAAAATAGTGAATATAAAATATTTATATGGACATCGAATGTGGCAGCTGTTACTGTTTCTGCCCCACCCTTTATACATTTATTGACTCAAAGTCAGGAAAGAAAAGTCAAAAATGTCCTGATGTTACAGGGGCTGAAACAGACACCCTATAACTGCTTCCAAAAGTTTGGAACTGTTATCCTCAGAACTGTAGGAAAGTTCACATGTAGGCCGACCCCATTCAGTGTTTCATAACTGCAAGAAAGTTCTCGGCAGAAGTTACATTTCATGCAGGCCTCAGTAAAAAAAATCAAAGAAGCTCACCAGGCGGCCCGTCCTCCCCGCACAGCCTGGTGCTCAGAATTACCATTTCCCTGTAAAAAGGCAATCCTCTAGAGGAATTTTTAGATCACGCAGCACATTTTAGAGCTTCTTCCCTTCGAACGCAAAACTCGATCCTGGCACAGCCGGGAGCAGGGTTTCGGATGAAGCTCGTGGGAATGTTTCTATCGCTGAGTGTTGCTCTACTTCTCAATTCTTGGAAGTGTCTCATAAATGTGAACAAAATTGCTGCCCCCATTTATGCCAGCTTCCATTTGCCTCTTTGCTTCGTCTCCTCCTCCAGAACGGTCCCAGAAGATGGTTTTCAGGCCTCCCTCTGCTCGGCCAAGCTGGGCTCAGCACCGGGACCTCCAAGCATCAGAGCAATGGGTATTGTTGAGCAGTGACTGTGTGTCAGGTGCTGGGCTGGGCACCAGGGATACCACCAGGAACAAGACAGATACGGCCCTGCCCCTCCCCCAGAGCGCAAGGGCTGGAGACATGGAAGGCAGAGCTGCGATTCAGAGCTTGAGGCTCCCCAGGAGCAAGGCTGGGCCTGGCAGTGCCCAGAGGAGGGGCCCCTAACCTTCTAGGGTCCAGGGAAGGCTTTTCTGAAGAAGCGGCATCTACACTGAGGCCAAAAGATGAGTGGGCAAGAGTCCAGAGAAGGGGGGCAGTGCGCACAGAGGCACTTCCAGGCCAAGTGTATCACTTGGTTTGTACTGCAAGACAAACAATCCCAATACTTCATGGCTTAAAACAACAAACCGCATATCATTCATGACCGTGGATCAGCTGGGCAGTTCTGCTGAACCAAGCTTGGTCGATTTTGGCTGGGCTCATTCAAGCATCTGTGGTCAACTGGAGGGTTGGCTGGGGACCGGCTGGTTGGCCCTTGGATGGCAGGATAACAGGGGCAGGACAGCCATGGGCCTCAGCATCTGGCAGGCTAGCTAGGGCCAGTTCACATGGCTACGGGACTGGCATACTGTCACTTCTGTCGCGTTTCATTGGACAAAGCAAGTCATAAGATTTAAGGAATCCCCTCAGATCTAAGAAATGTGGGAGGGGCCAGGCACAGTAGCTCATGCCTGTAATCCCTACATTTTGGGAGGCCAGGAGTTCAGGGCCAGCCTGGGCAACATAGCAGGTCTCCATTTCTACTGTATGTGTGTGTGTATATATATATATATACACACGCACACATATATAATATATATACATATAGTATATATATATATATATATATATATATTTTTTTTTTTTTTTTTTTAATTAGCCAGGCATAGTGGCATATGCCTGAGTCCCAACCACTTGGAAGACTGAGGTAGGTGAGCGATCACTTGAGCCCAGAAGGTCAAGGCTGCAGTGAGCTATGATTGCACCACTGCACTCCAGCCTGGGCGACAGAGTGAAACCATCTCAAACAACAAACAAACAAACAAACAAGAAATGTGAGAAGGTTGCAAAGTTGCAATTGCAGATGGGCATAGATATGGGCAGGAGTGAAAAATTGGGGGCAGTTCTGCATCAATTCAACACACACAGAGGAGACAAAAGCGGCCAGATATCAGCACATGGCCCATTCCAGAAGCCACAGTGTGGGTGAATTGTGGGATTCAAGTGGGGGGGAGGCTGCTTAAATCGTACTGAAGAGCTTGGACTTTCGCCCAAGGGCAGTGGAGAACCATGAAGGGTGGTAGGCAGGGGAGTGAGATCTGATTTCACTTTAGAACACCTTGATGGCCACAGCTTCCCGGAGTCCAGATCTCTGGTGATGGAGAGTCCTCTGGGAAAATTCTAGAATAAAGAGATTCCCTAGAGAAGAATGCATGTCTGTTTAAACCCATCCCTTCCTCAGAGGTAACCACTTCTACTATTACCTTGGTATGAATCC